CTAATTCCCCACCTTCCCTTCAGGCCGAGTAAGGCATCTGGACACCAAATAATTACCTCAAATGACGACATGACATTATTTTTACATGCCCCCCTTTTTCTGTATCATTGATGGGGGGTGTGAAGCTGTCTTTCAAGTTTAACAGATGTTCTTCAGCTGGGGACTGCATACACAGACTCCGGACCCAGCGGATACTAGTTCCCAGAGGCACGGACACCACGGCTAACACCGCAACACAAGTGAACCTCACACGGGCTTTGCGAATGAAGCAAGCCTGGCTCACAAGGCTGCATCCTGTGTGATTCCGGTGACAGGCCCTTCTGGAAAAGGCACCACTGAATGGGTATGAAACATGAGTGATTTCCAAGGGCAGGGTGGAGGAGTTGACAACTAGAGAAGAACACAAGGGAATCCGGGAAAGGGGTGGAACTGTCCCAGACTTTAATTTGTTACAAGTGAGAAAACAGCATTTTAAAGGGGCGAGTTTCATTATTTATGAATTCTACCTCAATAAACCTGAATTTTGAGCAAAACTAGAGTCTTGCCCCTTAGATACGTCCTCCGGAAAGGTGGGTGACGGGGCTGCCTTCACGCTGCCCTCGGCTCTCCTGGCCCAACAGCCCAACCAGTCAGGGTTCAGCACCAGGAACAGAGGCGACTCCAGGTATTTCAGTTAGAAGGGGATTTGGTGTGGGAATTAGGTGCTCGAAGAATCACTGAAAGACCTGGGGGAGCAGAAGTCCCCCTCGGACTCTTTAATTCAAGAACACGCCATGCTGGAGGCCACGATCTAAATGTCGGGAAGATGCTGCTGCCCCGACAAGCTTCTCCAGCCCAGGCAGGTGGGTCTACGAAGGTCCTAGAACAGTGAGTCTGGCCACTGCAGCTGCCTCTCAACACTCACATCCCCATGGCCTCACCTGCCGGCAGCGCCAGCAGAAGGAATGGGGCGGGGTCTTCACCGCAGGCTTCCAAACCTCATACATATGCATTAATGAAACCTGTCCTGCATTTGGAAACCTCGCTGTAAGAAAGTTGGGGACACGGAGTGGGTAGGCTTCCAATCAGAAGGGTGCAGTAAGGGTCCCGCTACTAGAAGAGGGTCAGTCCTCAGTGTCTCCCCCATCGCGGTTCTTTGCATCCTAGAGCAAGGCATTCTTCGACACAGAAAGCAAACGAAACCCTTTTTCTGTCCAAACTCAGATTTCCAACGGTGTTCAGAAACTAGAAAAATTGCTCTACTAATGGGTCAAACCAAGATCCCGACTCGTTTTATTATCCAAGAGTATTTCATTTTCACATTTAGTTGTAGCCCCGATGGAATAAAATGTTAAGATCCCTGCATTTGATAACAGAGCCAATCACAGTCCTAACTCATGCACTAAATACACAGTGCTCTGTGAGTTTTATTCTGCTGGGAATTAGGCAGACTAATCTTGAAAATGCATTAATTTTCCAGACATCTGTAAGTTATTTTATGGTGAGCCAGAATCAGAGGAGGAGAGTGCGATAGTGTGATTTATAAGAAGAATATCTTTGGTCTCTGTCTGCATTCCTGGAAGAGAGCTTCTAAAAGCCACGGAACTTTCTGAAAGATGAGAGAGATAAAGGTATCTTTTGGTGTGTTACTGGGGTAACTTTAGGAAAGCCACTAGGTAACCTAAGGATGGAGAACAGGTACAGAAGGAGCCAGATTAAAAGGTTGGAACTTACAGTCTCACCCCAACCTCCAGGGACAGGGAGAGAGGCTGGAGGTCAAGTTCAATCACTAATAGCCGATGATCTGACCAACACTGCTGTCTAACAAACCCTCCGACATCCCGACAAGAGCAGAGTGCAGACAGCGGCCGGGCGGGCAAACTCGTGCACATCCGGGGAGAGCGCACACCTGGAGACGGAGGGAGGCGCCACTCCCTCCCCCCTGCACCTCTCCCACCTTTTCTGAATTATACCCTTTTATCATAAACTAGTACATGCTTCTCTGAGTTGCACTGTGAGCCAAACCAGCAAATTAATCCAACCTGCAGAGGGGTCCCTGGAATCTCTGATCTACAGTCAGTTGGTCAGAAGCGCAGGTGACACTGAACTTACATGGCTGGCACGAGAACTGTGTGTGTTGGGGGTGGTGTCCCACGGGACTGAGCCCGTACTCTGTGGGAGCTGACGCTCCCTCCAGGTAGACAGTGTCGGCATGGGGTTGAATTGTGGGGCATCCAGTCTGTGTCCAGTGAGAACTGGATTGAGTTTATTGCACAGTGGGATTACACACACACACGCACACGCACATACCCCCCAGAGGGGAGGTATCTTTTATCTCCAATTATTTCTCCTCAAGACCTAATTGGTCAAAACGTTTTTTTAAAAGTTTATTTAGCTAATGTACCACAGTAACTACAATTCTTAGTTTCCCAGTGATCACTCACAGAACAACTGTGATCTCGGTGCCAAAGGGTTAAGAAACCTTCTTATAAAGACGGTTTTGCCTTTAGGAATTTCATTCTTCTTGGGTCATTTCTCTAAGTTATACAAGGAGGAAGCATTGGAAATATTATCCTTTTTCTGACAGGAAAACTATTGGGTGGATATTGCTGGCTTCTTTAACTCTTTTTTAAAAATTGTTTGTTTGTTTGTTTAGAGAGGGGAAGGGAGGAAGGGAGGAAGGGAGGGAGGGAGGGAGAGAGAGAGAGAAATATCATGGTGTGGTTGCCTCTCACACACCCCCTACTGGGGACCTGGCCCGCAACCCAGGCATGTGCCCTGACTGGGAATCAAACCGGCAACACTTTGGTTCACAGGCCCACGCTCAATCCACTGAGCCACACCAACCAAGCCTTTAACTCTTAAAGAAAAAAAAAATCAACAAAGGGAAATCACCTAAGAGTGGTGCCCAGGCAACAGGAGCTGTTGGGGTTCAGAGGACCACCTCCCAGATTGTCGCTGAGAAAGCTGAGGGGTGTCTGCAAAAACACTCTAATTCTCCCTCCTCACACCCCGGTGAGTCTCTTACAAACAGTATCTCATGTGGCTTTCACAACGGAAGTGAGGGCAAAAAGGACAACCAGAAACGAACAATTGTTCCGAACCTGGGGGGCAAATGCTCTCCTCCCTCCTTCTCTTTCAGAGCATTTTTTTTAAGTTGCAGTTCAGAGCTAGTTATTTCTTATGGACAATCACATATGATCAATGATACTGAGTGGCAAAGGTGAGTGGGCCACGATTTTATGTAAAAAGAACAGACCCGGCCTCCCTAATTTCAGGATTAGAGGACGCACCCAGCTGGGAAAAGCAAGAGAAACATCAAGGATGAGCCCCAGAACAAGGAAGACCCCCAGCCCTGATAAGTGAGCTCCTCAGGGCACAGCCCCTGCTCGGTTCTGCCCGAGAACACTGCCAAGAGTAAGGACCTCAAATATTATTACTAGAGATCTAAGAACTTCCTTCTGTACTCTTTAAATGTCTCTCTAGAGCAAGAGTTTAAAAAGCTTTATTATGGTGTGAATCCCCAAAGGTTCTTCCCCGAGAAAATAAAGAGCACTGAATCTTTCAACCCTCCTGTGCCCCAACCTCAAAGGCCGCCCCACCGAAGCATCTCAAAAGAGCAATGCGACAGAGCGGCCCCCAGAATTTACTCAGTTGCCGACTTACCTTCCAGTTTGCCTACACAGCAACGGTGTTTTCAACCTGAAACTCATTGTACAGGCAGAGGCCAATGCCTCTCCACATCTCACATCCCCTGTGACGGCCCACCCGGCAGAGGCACCAAATCGATAGCAATGACAATCTGTGCGCAGGCGGACGGACCCTGCCTCTGGAGGAACTAAGCTGCCGCGTCACTGTGAGAGATGGCAATGAAGTGAGGCTTGGAGAAGAATTTCCACTGATAACCAACACCATCTGACTGAAGGAGCCCACTCGGGGCTTTTGACCTTACAAAACAGACTTTGTGAACCTTCCACACTTTTCAGGCTAAAGTGATTTCCATTAACAGTAAAAATAACCTCTAACGTGGCAAAAGGGGGGCTCAGTCTGGGTCAAAGATCATGTCAACAGGGCATGTGCATCAAAAGGAAAAGGGGCTCTGGCCAGGTGGCTCAGTTGGTTGGAGCATTGTCCTGTGTACCGAAGGGCTGTGGGTTCAATCCCTGGTCAGGGCACATTCCTAGGTTGTGGGTTCAATTCCTGGTCAGGGAGTGCATGGGAGGAGACTGGTTAATGTTTCTCTTTCACATAGATGTGTGTGCGTCTCTTTCTCTCTCATCAATAAACATACCCTCAGGTAAGGATGTAAAACAAATTTTTTTAAGAAAAAGGAAAAAACAAAATTCACTCCTGACACAAAGTAAAACTGACAAAAGGCAATGCTATAGCTGGCTTCCTTCTGGCCACCACTAGACGCACAGTCAGTCACGAGAGCCAAGTGCCTGAGTCCCTGAAGCCTGTCCGAGCCTGGCTGGTGGTGCAGACCTACAGGGGGCTGCCCCTCCCTGGCCAGGCAGGGCAGGTGTCCCCTGCAGCCTGGACCTGAGCTGCAGTGCCCAGCCCAGAGGGCGTCTCGGTCCCTGCCCCTCGAACCCTGGGTCTGCAGCAAGCAAGGAGTCGAGCACGTGAGTCAGGACCTTCAGTGAGAACCACGAGAAGAAGCCATTCTTCAGGGGAGTGACAGAATATATTGTAACTGCTCCCTTCCCGTCAACAGGCATCACTTTCATGGGCATGTGAGAATTTCTCCCGCCTGAAGTTAACGCGATTCCCACTTCAATGAGAAGCGGGAGAGCCCTCATCCGTAGGATCACAATTCACCCGCAGCAGCTGCCGGACACAAGAGCAGACGCGCCAGACATGCACGGGGCTGATTTTTTTAAATCTCTCCAGGCAATGCTTCACTTTATAATTTGTGTCCTCTTAAAACAAAGAGCCGAGCAAATTACAAATACAGTGAGTATGTCTCTGAACAAGCGGTAACTCAGGCCGTGAAAGTGCTGGGAGGACTGCTCGCTTACCTCTGGCTCTGGCTGGAAGGCTTGTTCCTCTTCGGCGGAGTTTGGTAAAATGGCCCAGGTTATGTTGGCACTGGCTGATGGCAAAGAGCCGAAGGTCCCATTTTTCAGTGGCTCTGTGGAATGTGACTTGGGCCCGTGCCATCCCAGGATGTTTTCTGAAATAAAGACCTAGATTGATGCCACGTATTTTCCAAATCGAACACTTATAGTTCAAGAACTATCTGCACCTCGTTGTATACAGAGACTGACTGGAAATGGGCCCACTTGCGAGTGGACCTGGGTGAATTTAGGTGGAGCTTGTCATGAGTGGCGCTCCAAGGGCAGGTTCCGATCATCTATTTATAAACTAGTTTCTACAGAAATGGCAGTGTCCGAATCACAAGAGGCCATTTCTCTCCCCACCCTCAGACACAAACGATCCACATTTCCCCAAGCCACAGTTTCTTCAAGGGGTTCTATTTTTTTAACTTAAAAACATTTTTTAATGTTTACAACCAAAAAAAACCAAAACTCTAATTTTACAAACACAGGCTGCTCAGAATGTGATTTAAGGCCACTGCACATGATGACCGCAGCTTAGAAAGACGGCTGCAGTGGGATCTCGTGACGCCGCCTCTGCCGTGAGAGGTGGCTGGTGCGCAAGCCCCATCGCTGTTAACACATATGGTCATTCCACTCCAGCAAGGAACACGGGAGACCGATCTGGGAAACCAGAAGCGTTCTTCTAATCCTCTCCCAATCCTTGGGGGCGGAAAAAAAAAGACTTGCTAATTCTGTTTTTTTTAACAGTCATGTGCTATTATAGAATATTCGTACATGTTTACTACTGGGGACAGGAGTAATCAGATGTAGATTTCTTTACCCTTTTAATAGTGATTCTGCCATTAGAATCAGACTAGGTCTCAAACTCAGCTGACCTACCTGCCCTCCAAAGATTGTTTTCAGTGTAAATTCAGGGGTAAGTGATGGAGAAATGGCAGGCTGAAGTACAGAGTGCCTCAGGTGAACTAGAACGCAGCCTTTCAGCATCTCGATGTTCTATCCATCAAGCGATCCCATGCACCAGCCTTTCCATTAGCGTTACTCCAAGGAAAATCTACACGTGCTTATGCGTGTGTGTTCGTGTGTGCAATAGTATCCAACCCAACGCATTTTTATGCAGGAACCTTTTTTTTAAATGTCAAGTGTTACATCATATAACTCTGCTTACAAGCCTCAACCAGCGTCTCACTGCAACTGAAACAGAATCGAAACTGCTTGCCCTGGGAGACTGCAGCCTCACTGCATTCTCTCCCCGTCCTTGCTCTCTATCCTCAAGCCACGCTGCTATTTTTTCCATTCCTCAAGGGAGCCGAGTTCACGGCCATCAAGAGCCTCTGTGCGTGCCATTCCTTCCGCTCAGAATGCCACCCCTCCGGTGCTACATGAGGGGGGGAGGTGTCCCACATATATGCAGGGACTGCCTAAATGTCACTTGCTCAGCAAAGCCCCCTGTGACCTTCCTGGCCAAAGCAGCACCTAAAGGCACTCCTGCCACATCAGTGGAGTCATTTCCTGTTTTCACACACTGCGCACTATCGGAACTCACCCTGCTCACGTTCTTTGTCCAGCGTCTTTCTCTCCTCCTTGGAAAGACAGCCCCTGGCAGGCAGGGACCATACTGCCCTTGCCCATGGCTGTGTCCCTAAAACCCAGAACATGGTCTAGCAAAGGGCATGCACTTAACAAGTATGTGCAGGATAAATGAATAACTTAAGATTTCCAGAGATAGCAAATTTTTTAAAAAATGTGCGCATTTTACAACCTCCTAAAAGTTAAAAAATTAGAAAGGAAAAGTAGCCTGGTGGTTGCCAGGAGGGTCGGAATGAGGGGGGCGGGGCAGGAATGCAGAGCTCCTGCTCAGTGGGCACAGAGTTTGAGTTTTGCAAGACGGGAAGAGTTCTGGCGATTGCTCACACGACCAGGAGAATGTATATAACACTACTGAGCTGTGTACTTAGAAACAGTTAATACAGTCAATTTTTATATGTTTTTAACCACGGCTTTTTAAATGGCAACAAGACAGCCATACACCCCTCCTTGACGTCACCTGGAAAAGGTGGGAATGCACAACACTCAAGTCAGAGGCTGCAGGATGATCTGCGTCCAGACGTGGGTTCGAGACACCAGAATCTGCCATGAGAATGGTGGAAAGCTACCTACCTGTCCAGCCGATCAGCTCCTGCTCAGAGTCCTGAAGCTGCATTCAGATCTTCAATATTGAGCAACTGTCTCATTAATACTGGGATACCACTTTTTAAAATTTTATCTATCACACAAGTAGTACGTGTCCTCTGGGTTAATTGGGAAAGCCTAAGAAGCACTGGGGGAAATAATGAGATCTGCTTGCCTAGCCAATCAGGACAGTGGTCCCTCCATCACCCCCACACCTCAACCCTGTCTCTCCCTCCCCTCCATTCCACCATCATTCAGAGATGAAAATCTGGGGACAACAGAGCCCAGGCCCCTAAGGGATATCCGGCCTCCCAGGATAGACAGACAACCAGGTCAGGTGGACTGGCAGTCGCAATGCATGCTGGGAAGTGTAGTTTTCCGTATACTCTATGGATTCAGAGTATCAACAAACCAGTGAGGGAGGACAGAAGAGAAACCCATCTCGGACCCTTCCAGCTGCTGTAAGAAACGAGCGCTGGTTTGGGGGACTCGACGGACACGTCTCCTTTGAGGATGAAGGAGGAGAATTCTAACCGACAGTGAATGAAAAGGATTACACAGAGCAACAGTATCCTCAGACGGCTTCGAGGAAGAATATGTCTCTGAAATTTCTAACATGAGGCGTCAGAGAAAAAACATCAGGAAAGGCTGCATCCACAGCACAACACGGGCTGCAGCAGCCTCTGGGAAACAGGAGCAGGAGAAGGAGACGGGCTGAGGTGGAAGAGGAGATGAATGCCCTGTGGCATTATTATGAAGAAATGAAATCAGCAGCAGTAGAATTCAAAGGAGCCCTGCAGCGAGAAAAGAGCAGAGTCAACACTGCAGAAAGTCAAATGAGAAGCCCATCAAGTTAAGGCGGTCCTTGCTGGCGTGCAGCTGCAAAGGGCACGGAGACAGCAATTAGAGAGGAGGTAACAGAGATGACACGCAGCAGCGACCGCGAGATCCCGACAGACAGTGATCAGGTCTACGGAACAGAAACAACGAGCAAGGACAGAGCGAAGAAACAGCCGGAGCTGCAGAGAAAGCCGAGGGTGCACAGCTCGAACGGTCCTGCAAAGGCTTGGCAATATCTTCTTAGGCTTCCGATGGCTGAAACTTCAAACACACACAAACGTAGACAGACAGAGCAGTTTGATGAATGCCTAGCTCGTGAAGTTTGGCGACATTTTTGAATAACAAAAATCCAGAGAAAAAATTTTCAATCATTTAGGCAGAAAAATTAGACTTGTCTTCGAGAAGGAAAAAAAATCAAGCTGGTCTTGAATTATGCTATACAACACTAAATGCCAAAGGCGAACAGACAAAGAAAAGAATGCAAAAAAAAAAAGTCCACAGATTTGGGGCAGGGTGAGGGACTTTGGGGGATAATGCTCTTCCTCAGCCGAATTATCTTTCCTCTACTAACAAAGAGTCCATATTTATTGAGCTCAAGGTCTACTGTATACAACTTACATGTGTTACCTCTCATGTAATTCTAATGACAGCCCATAAGGCAGGTCCTACTGTTACGCCCAGCTGACAGATAAAGAAACTGAGGCACACGGAGCCAGTGAGTGGAAGGATTCAGATTAGAACCCAGGCAGCCTGGCTCCAGAGCCCAGACCCTTAATGCCCACTGTCTTCCTTTTCAGCAGCACTGAAGAGACTCGGAACATACTCGGCCTTCGGGGGGCGGGGGGACAGGAAATTCCCTGAGGACGTATGGTCACACCCTCACATACAAAGAAAAGAAGCAGAATCGAAAACCCAAGACTGAAGAAGTCACATATAAGAGGACGAGTGGTGAGCAACGACACCAGTAAAACACAGAGCTGAGCGTGGCTGAAACTACACTGAAGTAAAGGCATTCCCATCACATGTAAAATTTAAAGAGCCACCAAGACACTCTAAATGATATTTTCACCCAAGAGTAGGAAAATCAAAATGAATACCCCCCCAATCTTACAGACTCCATCTCACTTGCCTCCGCCTAAGTCCTCACCATGTGGAATCCTGTCTTTACTTAAAATTTTGTTCATCCTGAAGTTTTTACATTTTGGTTTAAAAACATTGCAAAGCACCGTTTTTATCTTAATTATTTTGGTACCCCTTAAATTACGCTCGAGGTAAGTGCCTCTCTCACCTCACCCTATTCCCTGCCCTGGAACTGAATCGAAATTGTTCTAAGCAGGGTTACAATTGCTTCTCGGCCTTTCGGCTAAGATCAAGTGTAGTATCTGTTCCTATCAATTTAAACAGGGTTACATTACTGAACACTAAGTCAAAATTATTTTAGAGATTTAATCATTAGCGCACATTAAGTATTAAATTAGTGTTAAAATATTAAGAATAGCCCCTACATCATACTACCAAAAATCAGGGAACGAGGAAATTAAAGTGTGCCAAGTCTTTGTCCCTCAAGGAGAGAGTCAGAAAAGCGTGTGTCAGTCTTGACTTTGCTGATTAGAAAAACGCAGGTTAAAGAACGTGCATGAAAATGTAACGCACCACTACTAAAATTTATAAACATATTTTTTTCCAAAACACTACAGAAGAGTAAAGGAAACACAAAATAGAGGAAAAAATGTGGAAAGTAACACAGAAACATAAAACAACAAACAGCAGTTAAAAAAATAAAGAGATTGCGGGGAGAGGGGGGCATAAGGGGATAAATGGCAATGAAGGAAAAAATACAATTAAAAAGCTGGAAAAAATAAACAAGTGAATTATATTCCTCTACGGAACGAGTCTCGAGACTGTGTCATAAAACAAAATGCAGGTCTGAAGCACATTTCATTAATTGTGAGACGCACCTAATTTCCCCATGTTAACATCTCTGAAATTGGAGTCCATCTCACAATCAATGGCGTGTCACGGTTTAACTGGCAACTTTTTCTTTCCAGTGGTGCAAAGGAAAACAGCATGTTTTTACCACTGATGGTGTCTGACAGTGGAGAAAATACGCCTCCCCTCTGGAAAGCGACTCGGAAAGGTCTGAAGTCAAAAGGAAGCCAAAAACTCCCACAGGAGGAGGAGGCTGGGATCAAAATGTTACCTCGGGCCACTGACTGATGATAAGACCAGACACTTAGATGTCCATCGCCTGTCACTCTGGTCCGGGCTCAGGGGCAGGGAGCTCATCAAAGATGACACAATAGAAGAGAACTGGAAGGCGAAGGGATGGGTAGTCCCGCAAGTGGCAAATCCCATCCTCAAAATGGGCTTTTACACACACCTGGAGCTCCTCACGCAACACACCTTAGTGGACGTGAAGAAGAAAAGCAACTATAAATATCTGGTTCCCTGAACCGGCTAGAAGAAAAGGCTACAGGAGATTTCACCGTGCGCTTGAAGGTCTGACTGTGGAACGGTCTTGAGCTGTCCTCAGCCTCAGCGTCAACCTTGTATGAAGTGCTGAGAGCCACCGTGCCCGCACTGGAGCTGTGAGGCCCCTGGCGAGGCCCGTGACACGTGACAGCACGTGGCAGGTCTCTCCCTCCTCCTCTGACAGTGAGTTCATGCCTCCCGGTCAGTAAACCTGAAAGGCTGCGGCTCCAAAGTGCAGTGAGATGGACGAACTTGAGAGAAGCGGAAGGCACATTCACCATGGAGAGCTGGGATGTTGGCATCTAACAGCTGTGTTTTGAGAAGCTGCCACTCAAAATTTGTGTTTAGAGAGAATTTTTTTTTTAAAAAATCCACCCATCTGACATGCTCTGCAATGCTAGGTTTCATGTTTTCCTAATATGCTCTTCACTGAAGGAATCATTGCATTTCAAACTTGGCTTTTAGTCACAAAATAAGGGAAGGCGGCTCAGGTTGGGCCCATTTCACCGAAGCAGTAGGTGGCGTGAAAGAAGGTGTACGAGCCAGAGAAAGCACAGGGAATCTCTGAGTGGCGGGAAGGAGGCGAACTCCGGGAGGCTGAAGATGTCTCTGTCATGCAGTGAAGCACAGTGGGAGGAAGGAGGGGACTGGCCAGAAGAGCCAGGCAGAGTCCTCATCAGGGTCTCACCTTTTTGACCCCTTTGCCAAACCCCCAAATGGGGCAGGACCAATGCAACTGGCTTATTAACTGGACACCCCACAAATCTTACAGGAGAATGAAAATGTTATTATACAGATGAATTAAGTGCATTAAGTCCTGCTCCGCTTCTCCTCTTGTCCATTACACGTCTCTTGCTCTCTTGTCCTGATTTGTGTCTGAGGGCACCTGCGTCACCCACTGCCACTCCCCAGGGCTCTACTCTCACCGGCCTGGCAGCTCTGCCCCCAGTGTTCTTTCCCAACATGCCTTGCACTGACCACTCTGTTAGCATCCAGCTCTTAGCTGGCTCTAGAATGTGCTTATCTGGTTACAGGTATCCCCTCTGACTTTGAACCCTGTGTCCTGGATCAAGGCCTGCAAGCTAGGAACCAACCAGAAGCACAGACAACAGACTGCACCCCCAAATCCCTTGAGAGGTCCAGTTTCTCTCCCACACTGGTACCCCACCTAAAAGGCCAGACTCCTAAGTAGCTCAGCCTTTCCCAATTCTGATGGAGTCCTGCCTGTTCTTCTTCGTGGAATCAGAGGCTTGGGTCTCGGCTGGGGAAAAAGATGCTCGCTTGCCCTCCTTCATCAATCATGTGCCTCCATCCAGCTGTTGAAGCAGAGCTGCAGAACATAAGCCTTGACCAAAAAGCTGAGTCACTTTATTAATTTTAATTACAAACCTCTCCACAAACAGAGAAGCTCAACGATGCATTTCAGCCCACTATATCTTACAGACGACATCAGAGACAGGTCTAGGAGCCCAAAACAGATAGGCAGAAGGCAGATGAACACAAAAGTAGTGTTGGATTTCAGTCCGGTGCTCGGTGTGTTTGAAATGAAATAAGCATTAGGAAGCAGCACTTGCAGACAAAGGCTCCGAAGCCAACACAGTCCCCAGAGGGTACAATGAAATGCTACAGGAGATGAACTATTCCATGACTAGAAATTAATTTTTGATTTGGAAAAGGGACAGAAAAGAAAAAGCACTGCAGGGGAGCAGAACACTGTGTTCGGGTATTCGGTATGAGGGGGGTCCCCTGTGCCTTTCTGCCCAGCGAACAGGGAAAAGAAGCCCCAGCCGAGCCTCACGTTAATGCGACCTTGACTTCCATCAGCCCAGCCCAGCACGCCCTGGACACAACCGCGGTGATTTTTTCAGCAGGAGTTCAGACTGTTATGGCTACGATCCACCTCAAGAGCCCGGAGAGTCTAAACAAATGCATTTTGTGATGACACTCCCGGGGTTACCATACTCTCTTATTCCACTAGTCTGAGATTCGGGAACTCGGCTTCAAGTGCAGGCAACTGTGATGTTTTGGATGCAGAGAGTAATTCCATTTCCCCCTCCCGCTGCCCCCAGTGTGTGGCACAGATTTAAAAGACACACACAAAGTCTTTACAAACTTAAGTGGCTGTGGTACACGGAACTGAACTTTTAACAGGGTTGAGAAGACAAAGAAACAAAATTCGCTCTTGCGAAGCTTTATGCTCCCGTTGTTTTCCAACCCCCCACCCAGGTTCCCTGATAAAAGAGGACAGGAGGCCGGACAGAGGGGCCGGGAAGACAGGAGGATGGAACACCACACTCGGCATAATCTCAGGAACACTGCTGGGTCCCTCCTCCTCCCAGAGAGTTTCCATTTCAACCTGTCACCACATCTGAAATTCTACCTTGAGCTCTGTCTCCACCCAGGTCCTTAAGAACACCGGAGACCCAATGAACATGGGGAGGCAGAAATCTGCTAGAAACCATCCCTGAATTAAGATGTAAGGGATAAATTTGGGAAGAAGACAATGGTTCAAGCTTACATTTACCAGCGACGGGCTCTTGAAAGAAGCCCGCTGGGCTGCAGAAGTTACAATATACTGTGAGGGAGGTCACAGACACCGGGAGAGGCCTCCGGTCTCACCCTGAGTTTGTGCCCACGCCCCACTGGGGTCACTCAGGCTCCTTCCAGATCGGGGAATGTCAAGGGGGCTTTGGCACCAGAGTTCGGATTTTCAGCTGGAGAGGAAGGCGGGACAGAAGAGCAGGTCAGGACAGTTCCTAATAAAGCCTCAATACCCATATCTATACACACACACACACACACACACACACACACACACCCCACCCCCTGCTCCTAGACTGGATCCGGCACCAGAAACTTGTCTCTTTAGTCATGAGGGACATTAATAGAGCCATTGGCAAAGTTCGGTGAGGTCTGTGGATTAGGGAACAGGACTGCACTCATGCGAATTTACCAAATTTGACCGCTGTGCTGCCATTATGTAGGACAGTGTCCTTTCTTCAGGACTGAAGTATATAAGAGTAAAAGTATGTCGCTTCTGCAGCATACTTTTAAGTGGTTACGAAATTGTAATAGGTTTGTACATAGAGAGAGAGGATGAAGTAAATATCATAAAATACTATCATTTAGGAAACCTGGATGGATGGATAGATGAGAATTTCCCATACAGTTCTCACAGCTTTTCCAAAAGTCTGAAGCTATTTTTTTAAGTATACAAAATAAATCTGGACTTGCCCTTGAGAAAGTTATGACGTGAGCCACACAGTGTCCCCAGTCCCAGTTAGGGGACCCCGAGCCCACCGAGTGGCACAAAGACCCCGGAGGGCACAGCGAGGAAAAGCCCGGTGCTCGCCTCGTAGCTGGTGGAACCTGAACAAGTCATTGAACTGCTCTGAGCCTCAGCATCTCACCCAAAGGCTGAGCACAGTAATATCCACTTTGTGAAGAAGGCAGAAAGTGTGTAGCAAAGGCCCGACAGTGGCCGAATCGGACCCCAGCAGATGACGGTGAGAAACACAGAAAGAAGCCTGCATTCCCTGCACGCAGTCTGCTCTGGAAAACCAACACCCCCTTCGCCGTTGTACAATAGAGAGCAAAAGGGACTTGAATTAAGTATGAAACATAGCACCATAACCTAGCTTTATTCTTCCTCTATTAAGTTGCCTTATTTCCCCATGAATTAAGTTAATTCTGGGCAAGAAAAGTCAGGCTTCTGTTAGTCTCTTAATTCTAATACTTTATAATTCAACCCAACATAACCCACCTCAAGCACCTTTCACCTTTATCGTTGAATTTAATCTTCACTAACATCTTTATATCTTCTCATTGGTTAAACCCTCCCCCAGAAGGACTGCGGCATCTTAAAGGAGTGTATTATTATTTCTGGATTCTTAACACCTAGAAATACCTCCGAATGTCTCCGGTAGGTATTCTAGAAAAATTCGCTCACACGTCCAGGAGGGGGCATGCAGGAGCACGCTTGTCACAGTGAGGGGTGTGGACAGAGAGCGGGGGCGATGTGCGTGTCTGTCATCAGAGAGTGTTGGGTAATACCTGGTGGACGCACACCATGGCCACGGTTGGAAACCATGGACCAGACGCTGCCTAGCCATAGATCTTCAAACACAACAATGAGTGCAAAGCCACAATGTGAATGAGATTCAGAACGTGATGCCAGAAAGTCTAAAAGGAGTGCTTATAAACATGTTAAATGTTTCATAGGAGAGCGTATTTCTTATAGGTAAAAGAAAAATATATATCAGATTGTGGGGGGAAGAAGGGAAGGATAAATGAAGACACCCTTGGACAACAAGATAGATGGATGGATGGTGGATAAAAGGATCAAGGTGAAGGAGGAAGGCCATCGTGCCCATGTGAGTTCCCACACCCACCCTGGACAGTACTCACTTGCGAGCACAGAACTGCCCACCAGGAGTCTTACCTGAGGCTGCAGGCTTGTGGCTGGGCTGGCCCACCTGGTGCACACTCTGCTGCAGCAGGCTGAGGCACTCCCCAAGGCAGCTGAGGGTGGCGGCGGAGGTAGCTTTCAGGAGCAGCAGGTCCTGGTCCAGGGCGGTGAGGGGGCCGGAACCCGGCAGAGACTCGATGGCATGCACGAGGCTCTTCTGCTGCCCTTCCACCTGGTTCATCATCTACAGAACGGGAAGACAGTGAGCGGCCGAGAGTCAGAGTTCTCCTTTCAACGGGAAGGGGGCAGCCAGCCCGTCACCCACGGGACCGGAGGAAAGTCAGGGGAACGTGGAGAGAGACACCATCATCGCTCAGATGACAAGTGACATCAGAGACAGCTCAGAGGGTATTCATTCCGTACATGAGTCCCTGAGTCCCCAGATGATGTAGGCCTGGGTGAAATCAGTCTCTCCAAAGGCACACATCTTCATCTCTGATCACAAGGAAATTTTAGAACTGCAGAGCTGAAAGGGACCATAAGGACCATCTGGGCATATCATTTACACGTCTTCTGAAAGTAAGTAAATAATAAATACATCACAGGGAGAAGTCCCTGTGACCGTCTCTAAGGGTGTTTCACCATGGAAGGTTACCTGAGAGAGCGGACAAACCATGGTTTCACCTACAGCAAAGTTGACACCTTCCTTTTCCTCCAGCTCCTCTTCGTAATTCCTTGACAGTCTTTTTAAAGTTCAGGAGACGGAACTGAAATCTAGGGCTGGTGATTTGTATGACTGAGATCGGAGGGAAGTCAGCACTGAGCCATTCCACCCCCCAGAATGTCAAAGAGGACATGACTTTCTTAACACCACATAGGCTGTCTGGAGGAAGGAAAAGCCAGGGATTCTAGAGCCAGCCCTACTCCACAGCTGAAGCTATGACAACCCCAAATAACCCTATTTTTGTGGCTTGGCTTCAATTCCTAACCTACAGAGAAGTAGTCTGATTTTATCTTCAAATGCACAGATCAAAGAGAAAAACACTCAAGAACTAGAAAAGGAATTCACTGGTTATCTTGTGAAGCTCACCTCCCTCCTGTTTTTACAACGGGGCTCACTAAACAAGACGATGCGTGGAAACTGCACGTCTAGCAAATAAACAGTCATCGTGGAAAGCCGAGGGCGAGAGTGGCCGGCCCCAAGTGCAGGGCCCATCAGCCTCAGAGGCAGGGGGGGGACCCTTGGTCTCCGAGCTCCAGTCCAGGGCTGTCCAAGCCTCCCCCACAAAAGCCTCCTTAACTGGAAGCAACACCTCCTGCTTTCACACTGTCAGCCCCACGGGTTCCTCGCTGTCATCATGTCACCCTCTGGGGAGAAGCAATGACTCTGTCCGGACCACTGGACTTGGACATGAACGTCATTCCATGCTCAGCCTTATTTTTCTATTTCCCTTTGAAAACGAAAACCTGCTGTTTTCTAGTAGTCTTTGTACTTGTCCACTTAAAAAAAAAAATTCATCCGCTGCAATCCGACTTACCAAAATAGGTGCCATTACTTCAGAACGATTCTTTAACAAATCAGTGTGGAATGCGCTACAACAGACGAGGTTTGCAGCATTCTCCCGGGAGCGCGCACACCCACCCTCTGACTGTGAGTGACATTTTTCTGCAGATTACAGAGATTACACCCAGCCATTCCGGCTTTTTTAAAGAGAGATAGCACCTGAGGCAAAACAGGGGCTCTGTTGATATTCACTTCTTCAAATCTCTGCTCTAAAGTCACCTTCTGAAGAAAGCTTCACTTAAAATTGCACCTCCAGCCCAACCCTTGGCACGCCTACCCTCCTGACCACCTCATTTTCCTCCATAGCACTTGCCACCTTTCCACCCAGCTTGTAGCTTACTTCTTGTGTTCCTTTGCACTAGGGTGAGAGGAAGGATTATATCTGCGCTGTCCACTAGTACATCCCAAGCACGATAAATATCTGCTGAATGAACAAACACGTGATCCTCCAGTCTCCCTCTTCTGCCACCCGGGTTGTCATTGTGCTTGATTAGCATAATATGGCTGAGATTTAGTACAAGTTCATACCTCCACCATCGGCTCAGGTTTGCCAAGAAATACTGCCAACTGGTTTAAGTTCAGAAAAGCTCAAATGTTTATGCACTCTTTGACAGTGAACTCTATGTAACAGCTAGGGAGAAGTGGAATTCAAACTGTTTGTTGTACTAAGCATTTCTGTAACTTCTGACCATAAAATCATGTCTTAGAAAAATGATGTGTGGAAAGGAAGAAAACAGAATGATGAAACGCATCATACGTTATGTTCTTAACTATTACGCGCATAAAGCAATAACTCTTAAGAGAAAAGGTAAGTAAAATTAAGCCATTAACTATATGAAATACACTTGGTTTTAATCACTGAAAAGAAATAACTATATTCCAGTTGTGTGGTATAGAATACTTATTTCACAAATGTAAAATAGTATGCAAACCTCAGGTAATGGAAAACACAGAACTCGCTTTCAGAACCTTGTATCACAGCAGAGGGACACGCCCAGAGATGGAATCCACATCTCCGCTCCTGAAAGTATTCAACAGTTTTTACTGAGTGCCTATTGCCAGTGGCAGAGTCAGGACTGTCCTGCTCAAGGGGCATTTGAACCAGGGGTTGGTACACCGGACAGTTACAATGTCTGAGAACTACTGGCACTGAGGAGGGGTGTGCTCAGGAGTGCTAAGCACCCCACAAGCCAGGGCACAGCTCCCTACAACAAAAACTTTCCTGCTCAAAATGCCAAGAGCGCCCCCTTGTGTAACCCTGGGGTAGAGACACATAAATAACCAGGCCCTTGATGAATCTCAACATTGTTCTTAGTAAACTGAGCCCCCGAAACAAGCCTCACACAAGGCTTGACACAAAGTGGACTCCTCCTCCAGATTCATTTTCTCCCCCTTTTCCATGTGATGCTAAACAGAACTTCAGTCTTTAACGACACAATTGATACCACTCTTCACTTTATTTTTGCTTCATCGGGCTCCAAAAGAAATGGAATGAACCCTAAAAGGAATGCAGGATGGCCAGCCTCAGAGGGGCAGAGCAGAGTTATAACTGTGCTACCATTTCTAAGGCAGGGAGAAGAATCACCCACTGATGAAGAATCTGTATCTGACTTTGGAAGAACAAGTTTCTGCTATTTCCACCTCTAATTTTCATTAAGGGCACATATAAGAAGATAAAGGCGGCACTGAAAGGCCATAAGCAACGAGAGCACCAACAGCCAGTGCTTCACTCGGCCCCTCTCCCCCTCACCATTCCCACCACCCCCAGCCTTGAAAGTGTTGAGCCCCTTGAATCACCCAAGTTTCAAACCCAAGCTCTCCACACGCCTTCCAAGCGCCTCAACATCCATCATTTGTAGTGTTTACAAACAAGTGAAAAGATGCGTGAGTTTCATTTCTTTCTGGCATTTGGTTTTCACAACTAGGCACATCAACATCTTGTTGAGATGTTGGTTCAGGCTTCGGAGATCCACCCTCTGGAAATGCCAGCTCTGAGGCTGTAAAATCACCTACACATAGGTCAAACTGAACTTCACAGACAAGCAAACTTCACAAGGGAAACATTCTATGACCCATTTATCTAGCACAAACAGTGGCATGTACACCCCAAAATCAAATCACAGGAGTTAATGCTAATAAAATCATCAGTGGCAGCTTTTGTTTGATTGCTTTATTTTCATAGAGCTGAAACCAGGGTGCACAGACCTAAACCCAATGTCATCCGGCTCAACGAGCTTGGATCAGGACAGAGAGAGGAGTGAAGGAGACAGAAGAGGAGAAAAGCTTCATTTGCCTTGATTGCTTCTGGCCGCTCTGAGCTGCAAACCTAGGAGCAGGTTTGAGAGGTGCCAGAAAGGCCCAGTCTCGACAGGCTGGATGTCCTCGAACACCAGCTGAGTCACTCACCCATCAGTAATCAAAGGACGCCGATTCCTTATTCTAAAGTAACCAGGACTGCTTGCCTTAGTTGGCAGAGCCCCCCTGGGTTCACAGGTTCCTTCATACCATCAGTACAATCCACCTTGCTTGGAAGTAGACCAAACTATCTGAAGTGAGCTTCAGGGTGGCCTTGGGTTGGCATTTCTCCTTGGCCTGGTGTAATTCCAAAGCCCCTTTTAAGTCTCCCCCTGGGTCAGGAAACTGTCCTTGGCTAACCTAGGTACTTTTTCACTTGGCCAAAGTCCTCATCTAAGTTTGAAAGCCATGCCTCAAGGATCTTTAGAACCAACACACACACAGCTGTCTCCATTATTACAGATTTACTATTCCACCGCCTTCATTAGCATTACTTTAATATCCCAGAAATGGTCTGATAGCTCATTACAGAAACTTCCTGAAATATCCATCAACGCTGTAATGGAAACCGTCAAATACAGTTTGTACCCTAAAGTTCTTTGAAAGCCTTGCCTCAAAACCCTTGCCCCGCTGTCTCCACCTGTCCTGAACTGATGCATCTTGGTCTTTACCTAATGCCAGTCAAGCCCCTGTATTGCAAACCTAACTTCAAACTCCCCACTGCTGACCTTGCCCTCCCCTCAGTGCCACGCCCAGTGCCCTGCAGAGGTGGGGTTTTCCCTTGGGAGGGGTGGTGAATAGTCAAGTCACTTTGTCTAAACAACAATGCAATTTGTTGAGAGACAGAGGCAAAATTCTGAACTACACACACACGCACACACACACACACATACTCGCATGTATGTACATTGATCCAAAAAACACTTTCTGAAAATGTGCAGACAAGTCTATTCCATTCCCTATAAGTGAGATGTCACCTCTTCACCTTTGGCTTTCCCACCATCTCTTCCTCATCACCCCTTGTAAGAACTCCACACCACACAGATATGAAATGCACATTTTATCTTCAAAAACTCCCAGAAAGCAAACCCATGCTGATGTTCAGAGCTATGAGATGCAGCATTCGTAGCTAAATGGCTCTGATGACTCTGTCACGCCTGTCCCTTTCATCCTGCAGACAGGAAATCCCAGTTCAGCGAGGCCAGGGGCCCTTGCTGAGGTCACACGGCGCCACCACTCTGGTGTCCTCTGCACTATGAGACGTCCTCCTGGGTACTTCTTTCTCAGAGTCAAGAAGCGAAATGCTATCTCCTGCTCGGAAAACAATGACGGTGAAGTTTCTGCCACTGCCCCTCTCCCCACCCTTTCTCACCACCTGGGAACAA